ATCAACATTCCCAGATACGACTGCCTTATTTGGCCCCTACGCTGTTACATGACCTGACCCTAGTAGGCCAGATTCAGCCCACCACGAAGGAAGAATTAGCTCCCTCTACAATCGGCCTCACTCCTTCTCCGCTTCAGCGAAAGAATGCCCTCCTTCTCTGTGCAAGGCCTTGTATGTTAGAGCTCTCTGCCTCCTTATAACAGAACTTAGTGCCTATTTTTCCTCTATCCCCCTTCCCGCCCCAGTCCAGTCCGGAAGCTTGGAAAGTGCCTGGGAAATGTAAGCCTCTCAGAAAATTTACACAAAAGCCTCAGGCCTGCGTTGAAGAGAAGCTTCCTTGAGGTCCACAGGCATTCTTTAGCCTGAGGCCTAGGATCATGATAGAGGACTGCCAGCTCTGGGTTGGGAAATACCTGGAGATTTGGGGCCTGGAGTGGGCAGGGACCTCAGCAGGGCGCAATGTCATAGAGTCCATCCCCCCCCCCCCAAAGCAGCCATTTTCTCCAGGGGAACTGATCTCTGTTGTTGAGAGATTAGCTGTAAAAGCAGGAAATGTCCAGGCCCCACCTGGAGACTGGCAGCTCTATGTTGATGTCCGCAGCTTGGACAGGCCCACAGCTTACGCATCCTTTGGTCCCTCCTCTGGCACCATTTGTTTCAAGGTTAAAACAAACAGGGCTCCCAGGAGCTTTAGAAAACTGGGAATTTGGGGATGGAGCTCAAGAAGGGCAGAGTGCTCAGTGGGGATGGGACACCATAGAAGGCGGGTCCCCTAACCTTTTTTGAACCCGCAGGCACCTTTGGAACTTTGACACAGTGTGCAGGGCATAGCCACAAAATGGCTGCCACAGCTTACCTTCAGTCCCACAGTGAATATCCTTGTGTTGTGGTGGCAGCTGCTGCTAATGCAACATTTTAAAACATCTGCACTGCCAATTAAGTCTCCAGTGGCCAATCAGAAGCCCTGCTGGGCATAAGCCCACCTGGCCCTGCACTGTCTAAAAACACTTGGCAGGCACCAGGAAAGGTGTCAGGGGAGACCATGGCACCCACGGGCAGCACATTGGTGACCACTGCTATAGAAGCTGCCATTTGCTCCAGGGAAACTGATCTTATGTAGTCTGTTGATCACTTGCAATTCCAAGGGTTTGAGCATTCCCCAGTCTGAACTATGAAGGGAGGAGCATATACTGTATAAAGTACACACTTGACTGAAAACCTGGCGTGGATGGGCGGGGGATAAAAGCGTACATAGGTGGACTAGAAGGCTAAGCTAGATAAAATGGGGCACAAAGGCGCATTTATCACTGAATCCATCTCCACTAAGGGACCAGCAAAAACTACTTGTTTGTGCTAAGACAGGTTTCATATAAAGCACTAAGATATAAGCAAAAAAGCACAGTACAAAAAGTGCCCTCTGCTCATCTTCTAGCCTGCCTTTCTGGTTAGAGGTCTGACGCTATCAAATACATCTTTTAAAAGCTCCATGGCAATTACACACACTGTAGGGAGTTTGCACATCATAAATGCACATCTTTAAATACTGGGAGGGCATAATAATCTTAGAAGTGATCAAAACCCACCTTCGATTACAGTAAGCCACTAGTGCTCATAACAGCGACTGCTGGAACAGGAAATGCACGTGCCCCTTACCCAGACTACATCTCTTTCAATCAACGTTCCCTTATCTGCTTTCTTTACTAACTCCACAAAATACCATTTTAGAGCAGTGCTCGGAAGATGACGGAAGCAGTCGTTGCCTCTTAATGAGCAGTGTTGTGGAAAGAAGGCTCCCGTGCCCACTGGAAACCAAAGCAACTAGCTAAGAAAGCTGGGGCCCAACTACCCATTTCGAAGGTTCTCCTGCATACACATTAGACAATCCTTGCCTAAGCAAATTTACACTATTATTTTCGACTAGAAGCAACAAGGAAATTAGGACAAGGTGCTGCTCACTAGCTTTAGCAAAACCCACCATAAAGCGAGGCATGAAGCACCAGCGGATGCCTCCGTTTATGGGGGAGCAACGGCCACCATAGCATTCACATTACAGTAATATTGCCTCGGCATTAAATATTGCTGTCTGACTACTGTACTTGCAAGGGGTAATGAAGCAGCAAGAGGAAGAACCATGTTGAGTACTGACTTCTTTTTTCCAAGGAATAAATACAGAGTTCTTTTCTGCTGTTGAAACACCTTATGTACTCCAGGGCAAGGCAGAACGTAAAAGTTATCCTAAGCTTGCTTTGTTGAACTACTCAAACAAAATAACCACCGTTATTTCAAAGGATTTTGTCAAATCAAATCACTTGGCATATTTCAATAAAAATTCATATACAAGATTTTATTTGAATTAAAAAACCTTACTCACAATTCGCCCAAGAATGAAAACGAACTGCTGTTTAGAAATTCAATTACAATATGGGCAAACTGACTCTCAAGACAGCAAATTCCTTGTTTTAAACAAAATGGGCAAAGTGATCTGTATTTTGGTGTAGCGTTTATTGCTCTTAAAGTGCACGAACTCTTCAAGGAGCACAAGTGTTGCGCAAGAACTTCCGTTATATGCTTCTGAAGCAACAAGACTACACATAAGTGGGCGCAAAGACAAAAGAAGTGAAAAATACTGTTGTAAGAAATTTAATTTAAAAAAAAGAGAAATCCAACAGTGCCTAAATCTTTATTTTTCATAACCTACATTTTTTTTAGACAGTCGTACATTTTATGACACAAAAAAGGAAACTTAAATTACCAATAGTTTACATGTAAGCTTGATTCCAGTCTTATATGGAAGAAGAACATAACAGAAAACCCTCCCCCCAAAAAGGCCTCCTCTGTATCACACTTTCTGTTTCCTGACTTGGCAGCTGTGAGCCTGTGGGTGTCTTCGATTGTCTGCTGCAATCTGTGTAATAGGTTACAGAACGTGTGAAAACTGCAGCTAGCTTACAAGGGATACAGAGATGGGTCTGGACCCCAAAGCATCAATGGTTGTTCTTGATACACTGCATCGCATTTAGAAAAGGGGGCATCTCTGCACCAATCACTTATGTCTTTAGTTGAGAGGCAGCCCCCACCCAAGACTGATTGGTTATACCAGCTCTCTATGACAGGATGTGAAATCAGAAAGGGGGGGTGGGAGACAGGGAGCGCCGATGCAAAATTAATATACACATTAAATATTCAGAAGTAAACTCTTCTTTTAAATACATTCCTTTAACAAAGCCTCAAAAAACCTGTGTTATACTCCTGTATGAAGAGCACCGAAGCAATCCTACAAGAATTCTTTTTTTTAAAAAAAGATGTCAATTGCAAATGGGTTCCTGTTGTTCTAACCTGCAACTCAGATTCCAGAGAAGGAGCTCTCTCTCTTACAATGCCAGATCTGAGCAGCTGTCATGTCAACAGGTCTGTAAGATGTCAGCTTTGCACCAGTAGTTCCTTCTAGTTTGAGTGGGGAAACGGTGAAGTGATTGGAAAAAAAAAGTTATTTGGCATGTCACTCTTGCTCTTCTTAAAAATAAAAGCTTATCACAGTAAAGTTTTAAATTCTTCACACAGACTGTTATTTGGGTGAGAAGTAATTACAGTGTATTAACCTAGTACAAGAAGCAGTAGAACGCATTAGAGCAGTACAACCCACCTGCTGGTCTGCACAGCATTAATTTAAATGTATCAGTTGGCTGTGATGATTCACTGCACGCTTGTTGTGGCCACTTCCTACGTTGCTTGCAGCCATTTACTGCATGCTTCCAACAGGCAAGCAAAAAACCCACAGCTGGCCTCAGCCATAGCCTAATCTAGCCACCGTTGCCACTGCTTAATGGATAAAGGATAAACATTAAAACCCAACAACAGTACCAGCTCGATGATTTTGGGCTGATGTTAGGAATCCCATCTCCTTCCCCAGCAATTCCAAGTGTGCCTTCTAAAAAGGAAGGAACGGAAAGATCCCAGCTTGCTGATTTTTAAATTCTGCAGTGCAAAAAAGCAGACTGGGTTCATGGAAGGAAGAATTAAAAAATAGCAGCAATCTATGCTAGGAAATCAACTGCCCTAGGTCTTTTTATAGCCATGTGGAAACTGAAGTCCAATGCAAGTAACTGTGAATGGTTTGGCCTAAGAAAAGCAATTGAAGTAAACTTTGGGGAGATTTTGTGTGTGTGTGTCTGTGTGTGGCAATTGCTTTCTAACTCAGAATTTTATTAAAAAAAATATTTTAATTGTAGCTTATAAGAACAGAATTGAGAATTACAGTGCACAACCAAGTTTTCACACTGGTTGAAGCGCACACGCCCAAAAGATTTTTTAAAAATTCAGGGATTTTAAAGACAGACTTTTCTCCAATTCCCTTTTGCAGTGAAGAGGCAGAAATCAGCTCAGCATACCAGAATAAAGGAAAAAAGTAACAAGGAAAGAAACCCAACAAATTAAAAGTAATATTCAAACCACAACATTTAGTTTATCTACATCCAGCTCAACAGCAACATTTATAATATATCAATAATTTTTATCAGTTTTTTTTAAGGGTACCTTTTTATATGTTCTGATTATTTACAACTGTACAATCAAAGCACACACTTCCAAGTGCACATATTTAATACAGTATTGACTACTTCCATTTACAGATTTTTTCAACATTTTGAAAAAAAATCAACTGCTTAAGATCTTTTAAGGTATATTACAAAAAAAACCCACCGCTAGATCCTGTACTATAGTATGTTTTACTCAGCAAGATCAGTGACAATACATACATACTGTAACTGAGTAATTCTGTATGCGCCACCCACACTAACCCTGTGAAGGGGGTCAGACTTCAGTAACTCTAAGCTGTCTTATACAAAAGTTAAGGCAAAGTCATTTTCAAGTTTAAATAAAATTCAAGTCTTTAAATATTGGATGGAAATAATTCTTTAAAAAAATCAGTTGTTTAAAT